AAGAAAAAAAAAAAAACTCTTTGCCAAGCCTCTAATTTTTCCTAACTTCTAACCACTTTAATTTCTTCAGAGGCTTCACACATAATTTCTCTGTGTATGTTGGCAGTGCTGAAAATTTAATGCTGTCTTTATTCCCCACTTTAAAGTTTTTCTTTATTTTTAACTATAGATGGTAGAAGCATTTGGAAGAACTATTTGCAAGGTCTAAGATACAGAGAAAGTGTGGTGTTGTTGTCTTTTTTGATATTTTAAATCCATAATGTTTCCTGGGGTCAGAGCAAATAATGCCATCCTGGGTCAGAGTGAAATTGATTGTTAATTTCAAATCCCAACTATCTCCCAGAGGTACCAATCATATTGCTTGCTATCCCAAGATGAAAGAGAAACTAAGAAGTCCAGTTGAGAGCCTTTCTCTGACACTTTCTAAAATGAAGTTCCACTTCAATCATGTAAGTTAATCCAAGGCAGAAGTAAACCAATGGTTTGAGTTCAATTCAAGGGCAAGACATTGAGTAGAAGTGAGACAGTGGCTATAGCACCAATGGTTTACTTCTCACTGGGTCCTGTTTAAAGGATAAGGATAGCAAATTATTTATTTTATTTATTTATTAAAACATTTTTATGCCGCCCCATTCGCCGAAGCCTCGGGGCGGCTTACAACATACCATTACCAACTCAACTCAACTCAACTCAACTCAAAAAGATACTGTCTGGCAAGGACAGACTCTGGAAGTTATTGGAGACCCAAATATAGGAATGCATCTTCTTGGTTCTGAGATTCACCAACCAGTGCTATAACCACTGTCTCACTTCTACTCAATGTCTTGCCCTTGAATTGAACTCAATTGAATTAGTGCAGTTATTGATAGTGGTCCTCAAATACTTCTGGCCCAAGGTACCTAAGTCTGATCCAGGTGCCCTGAGATATATGTCTGTATCAGACGTACTCTAGATCTGGTTCAAAACCTTTCTTGGCTCCACATTTTGGCTATCAACATGCCTTGCTCTTATATCCCATTTTTATATTTGACAGGCTACCAGGGTTGCAGCTCTTAATGCAACCAAGCTAGCCAAGTCTATATCAACCTGGCACCCTCCAGATGTCGTCCACTTCAATTCACATCAGGCCCAGCCAGAATATTCAATAATAAGGAATGCTGGGAGTTATAGTACCAAATATCTGAGAGGAAGCAAGCTGGGGAAGGCTGCTCTATACAAAGAAAGCAGCGTACCAACAGTAAAGCACCTATGAAACTTCTCACAGGAGCACTATTTTTCTTCTAGGGACACAGACTAGTCTACTGATTTTGGCATGATGCTCAAGGACACTGGTTCTTAAACTTCCTCCTTCCTGGTCCTTTTGAAAATTGGTGGCAGCCTCAGTGAGCTACTCAACAAATTTGTTTTGTTCTGCAAATCACAACACATATAATACATACTTAAATTGTGATTTTTTCCCCAGTGCTGTTATCATTGCTAATGTAAATGCTGCATTATGAAAATCATGGACCTTGGGCCATGGCCCAACCAGCCTGTTTGATCATCTGGCCCTGGTTAAAAGAGCCTTAAACTCCATCATCAGAAAAAACACATAAAGTGCAGAGCCATTCTCAGATGTTCTGTGATTTCTCCATTCACCACCTACCTCGAACTTGCAGACTGACCCTATTTCCAGAACCTGTGCTCTACAATCAACAGCATTTAAGAGTTTATAAACTTGTATGCTGTGTATGGGTTAGTGGTGTCCAGTTATTGTCCAAAAGTGGAGATGAAACCTTAAATGCAAGGGAAAGTTATTACATTGACCAGCATGTGCCAATTCATACAGCCAGGATAGTAGAGTTGAGAAGGGCCAATAAGGCTATCAGGTCCAACCCTCTGCTCAGCCAGGGCTCCAAGTTAAATCATGCCTAACAGTTGGTTGGCCAGCTGCATCTTGAATGTCCCCAGTGGAGAAAAACCCATGACCTCTCTAGAGAATTGGTTTCATTGAGAGCCAGGAATTCTTTCCTGATGTTCAGCCAAAATCTGGCTTCCTGTAATTTGAGCTCATGCTCTTCCCTCTGGAATGATCTAGAAAAGATTCTGACCTTCCTTTCAACCTTTCAAGTATTTGAAGAGTGCTATCATATCTCCCTCAATCCTTTCTTCTTAAGATTCAACCTGCCCAATTATTTTAGTCTCTCCTCACATGGTTTTGTTTCCAGTCCCCTGTTCACTGTTACCCTTCTCTGAACCTTTTCTAGTTTGTATCTTTCTTAAACTGTGGTGCCCAAAACTGAGATAAGGTCTAACCAGTGCTGAGTGGAGGGGGGCTAGTACTTTAAATGATTTAGAAGTGATATTACTGTTGATGCATCCCAAAATAGCAGCCACATCATATTGTTGACTCATATTTAGCTGATGATCTACAATTCTGAAATCATTCTCACTTGTAATATTTTGACCCAAATACCCACTTTCTTGAAGTATGCATTAAGTTTTTATTTCATAGGTGCAGAACTTGGCATTTGCCCCGTTTAAACTTAATTCTGCTGTTTTCGGCCTATCAAGATTACTCTGAATTTTGTTTCTGTCTTCCAGGTTATCAGCTATGCCACTCAATGTTGTATTATCTGCAAATTTGATAAGTATTCCCTGAACTTCATGCATATAATAAAGATTTCAATTTCAATAAAAATGCTGAAGAGCACTAGGCCCAAGACTGAAACCTGTACTGCCACATTAGTTACTTCTTCCCAGTTTAAGTTGCCATTGCTCTGCACTCTTCAAGTTTGATTCTGGAGCCAATTGTGGATCCACCCGACCGTTGTTCCATCCAGCTCACTTTAGCTAATTTGCTAATCAGGTTATCATGGGGCACTTTGTCAAAAGCTTTGCTGAAGTCAAGATATATTATATCCACAGCATTCCCACAGTCTACCAGGAAAATTACCTGATCAAAGAGAGAGAGAGTACATTAGTCTGACAAGAGTTGATCTTGCCAAATTAATGTCCTCCTTGATATATCAGTCACAAAGGACAGCTATACCATTACAATATCCCACCCAAGTAAATGAAGCCTATGTTGGGACAACATTTTATTCACTAAGAGTTACTGGCAAGAGCACCTGGAACAACAATTCATTCTGTAAAGAGGGCCACACAACTAACTGTTGAGCACACACTTAAAATGCAAGTATTTCTCCAAGAAACAAAAAGAACCAGTACCAGAATACATCAAACTGAGAGGGATGGTTTAACCTGGAGTCCGGCACTGAGCAGGGGGTTGGACCCAATGGCCTCTTCCAACTCTACCATTCTATCATTCTGCACTTAAGCTCCTGTCTGTACCTCTATTATGGAGGAATCCTGCCATCTGTAGTTAAAGGATAGCGTGAACAGTCCAATGTGTACACTCAGGTTCCTCCTCTTGTCCCATCTCCAACATCACCACAAGATCTATGACAATGAAACTACAGGCTCACCTGCCAGAACACTAAAATCATGTCCTTCCAAAGATCCTATTTGCCAAGAACAATTACGGCTGGCTAAGTCTACTTTTGGCTCCATTATGAATTGCAATTGCTCAGTTGCTAGGCAAAAAACTGACTTCTGACATTCCATCACTCCCACTGGTAAATCCCAAACTGTAACAAAATGTGCTTAAAAATAGCAACACACTTCTGCCTATGCTGGCCCCAAACAGTCTGTGTACAAAGCACTAGTAACATTTGGCCTCAGATCACAAAGATGTTTTCACTATTCCCTAGGGTGGAATTCCAAGATCTTCCAATTAATTTTCACACTGTCTTCTAATGCACCAAGAAGGTTTATTTTTATTGCACTGTGACATTAAATCAAAGAGAAAAGAAACATTAGTTTAAAATAACCTGTAAAGGTCACCTCATTGCACTATAGATATGAAAGCACCTAACAATACAAAGACCAGATCAGCTTTGACATAGCATAACAATGAACAGGCCTCTTCAGCTTCCTTCTTAATCTAAACTCCCACTGGATAGAGTAACTCCAAGAAAATTACATTTGCTGTGACAGCACTGAAACAAAAGGAACGGCATGTGATCATGTAAACGGAATTTAAAAATAAATCCATAATTATTCCTTGAAAATGCAACACTCGCATTTACTTTAACCCTTTATTTAACTTTGAGCCCTGACTTAGTAATAAGCAATACTAAAATACTTCCAGCATTTTACCGACTGTCATTCTGAAAGGAGACCTCAAAACACACATTTTACAGTTTCCTATTGCAAACATGTTGCTGAAAAGTCTCTCTTTTCAGGCCGAGGGCTTTGTTTTCTTGTTACTTTTAGCTACAGACAGCAAAGAAGGCCACTTGATGCAAGCATGGTGGACTGGGATTTATTTCATTTTTTAAAACAGAGCTGGGTTTGGTTTGGTTTGGTTTTGTTCGTCTTCCCGCAATTCCTGGGACTCTCGTTTAACCCAGTGAAGTCAGCACACATGGTAACTGCTACATAGTGTGTGGCTGGTCACTGTTATTATGGCGATGGGGGTTGTCCTCATGCGTTTTTGTGTGATCCCAGCCCTTTTACATAGACAGTCAAAGCAAAAGATGGGCAGAATTCAAATTTCATAAGATGAATGCAACATCCAAGTTAGTTTCCAGTTCTGAAGCATCTCTTGGTAGATAATGCTATTAACTATAGCACACTTCCTTTGGAAAGAGAGCCTTTTAAGGGAGAGGCAGTGCTAATTATTTGTTTAGATGTTCTATTTAAACAAATCGCAGGCCAGCTGTTTATTTTATTTAAGGGGGAAAGGAGATCTTCGTGCAATATCACGAGCAGGAGCATTCCTGCACCACCCACAGCGGATTCCGCCTCCCTCTGCCCAAAAGCCTGGCCATTGTGTGCGGCGAGACAGGCGAACGATTGCCCGGCGGAGGACGAGTCTCGGGCAGGCGCTCGTTCGCTCACGCATCTCGGCCGAGCCGAGCCACGCGCAGGCAGAAAAGATGTCTCCCGCTCCTTACCTCCGAAGCGTGCAGCGGCAGCCCGAGGTCCCCCTCGCCCCAATTCCTGCCGGCGATCAGAGCAGCGCGTTCCCCATGCTGCGACGCGGCTCCTCACCATAGTCAAAAGTTCCCCCGCGAGCATCTCCCCGGCGCGTCTGTCATGATGCTCTCCTGGCGGGCAAGCCGAGCTCGCGTCCCCGTCTGTTCCGCCGCGCAGGAGGCTCTCCGGGCTCGGTCCTCCTCCCTCCCGCGAAGTGTCACTTTCCCCCAAGCGCTGCCATGCGCGGGCTGCCCCGCTAGGAGGTCGCGCTCCGCCACTCGCGCCAGGCGCCTCGCTCGGAGCCCTCCGAGTGGGGCCGCCCCGCCGGGCTCTTGCTTCGAGGCGCGGCGGCGGTGGCGCGGCGGCCGATCCGGAGGACCTGCGAGAGGCTTTGATACTCGAAAGCGGGGCAGTCTTTGCAGCAGGAAATGCCACAGGACTTCTATCCAACCACATCAGGAAGAGCGGGCGAGCGAGAATGGGGTGGGGGGGGTGGCGTATAAAATCCGGGCAGGATTATTACATTCCGGATTGGGGTTGTGTGCGTCTGTGTTTGGGTTTGCACGGCTTTGCTGGTTAAGGAGCGGGGGTGGACATAAGAGAAAGTGAAATTGAAACAGCGCCAAGGTGAAGCCCTGTTCAGCCCAGAAGTGGACCGAGCGCACTGGGTCGTCCGCTCGCCTTCTTAAACCGACTCGGTCTTGTATCGAGTACAAGAGGCTTTCTTCAACCGGCTCGAACCTCCCCGCCCCGAATCGGAGGCTCTTTTTCTGGCCCAGCCGCGTTTCTGTCTCCCCGCCTACAGAAAATGGGAGCAGACTAGGACAAGCTAAGGGCCTGCTACCCCCTGCTGGACATGTCCAGTTGCTGTGTGCAAATAAAACATGTAACAGTTGGTGGGAAATGAATACGCTGTATATAAACAGAAGGATTTAGACATGACTGGAAACAGCATTCCTGTGGACTATAATCCGACTGACGGGAACATTTTCCACATTATTTTTATCGCGAATTTCAATAAAACAAAACTGGAAGAAATGGAATGAAAACGCCTTCTTGCATAAATTGAAACGAATCACAATAGGTGAATATCAAACATATACCAATGAGTGGGTACATATGAAAACATAGCTATCAATAAAAACTGTTATGTATACTCTTCAAAAAAAAGCAGACCAAATAGCTATATCCATTCACAGGTGGCATCTAAATACCACCCCTTCAAATCCTGAAAGTGTTGTTAGGTCCTCGATCTGTTATGATGCAGGAGGGGGGTGAGGCAGGAAAGGTGATCTTTAAGCTGTGTTTAGGGCATGGAAATCCATTTACATTGTCCTTGTGTTAACTTCCAAGCAACATGTAAATACTTGGAGATAATGTGTGCATCAGTACATTCTGAAGAGCATTACAATATAAAGTTTATTCATATTTCAATCTTCTCCCCAAAAGAGGTAAAAATTCCTCCAAGTATTTTTTAAAATGTATCACTCTGTTCCATAAATTACTTCAGGGTTCTTCTTCCTCATCATTTCCAATTGAAAAAGGCAGGTTTGGCCTCACTTTATATCACAGGGCTTATTTGTTGATTAGCGCTAAATTTTGGTCTGAAATTAGATTATCCACCTTGGTTTGGTTTCGGTTGGATTATTATGTCTGGATTCTCTCTCTGCTTCTGTGGTCTAAGGTGATGTACCAAGCTTTCTAGGATGGTCACCATTTTCCCACAGTCATGGACAGTTTAAAGCAAGTTTCTCCTGCTGTGAAAGAACATTATTGAATTCCTATTCAATGTTCAGCACTCCTGATAAAGTTGCATGGTTGGAGAAATGGCAAGCTGATTATAACAAATATTTAAATGAAATTTAAATATTGAAATGAAATTTCAATATTTAAATGAAATTTAAATATTTTTAAATGAAAAACTTCAACAAATGTCTCTAAGTAAACAGTCAAATGTTTACTTAGAGATATTTGTTGAAGTTTTTCATTTAAAAATATTTTTATCGAAGGCATAAGCAATAATTAATCCCTGTGCACAGGCTTATATAGGCCTCCTATTCAACGGCATAGGAGTCAATTACATTTCATTAACTGTAAAGTACTTTAGCTTGGCTGAAATCTGATGTTTCTCCTTTTAATGAGAAGATTTGTAATCATTTAAGTACCAGAAACTGGTGGATCCTTGGTGAATCTGAAAACTGCAACCTCACCAGACATGGTCTAAAAGTACAATTTCAAACTTACAGACATTTTTGATGTAGCAAAGATACAGAAGAAAACCAAAAAAGCAATGTAATGAAAAGCAATTATGATGAACAGGGAAAATAAATACATAGTATCTTATATCAGGATGCAAAATCCTCCGAGCTTCATTGAAGCTGAGTTCAGCTATGTAAGCCTGAGTATAACTTTCACTGTATTTGCCTCTTTGGAGAAGATGATTCCTAACCCAAAAGATCTATAACTTTATTAAATCAAATAATTATAAACTGTATCAACTAATTTGCTAAAACATTCATGAAACATAACTGAAGAATCACTTTTAGGCTCATACACATTAATCAGAGCAATTACATCAACATCATCATCATCACCACCACCACCACCACCACCACCACCACCACCACCATCATTCAGCCAAAATCAAAATGCAGCCATCAGAATTGCTAATGACTAGTTGAACTAGCTGAAAAGAAAAAAATGCTTATGGATTGAAATTCATCCCTTTAAACCTAGTCCATTACATATTCCTCACCAATGCAATTTTTTTTTTCTACAAATGTAGAGTTACAGCCAACAAATGTCTCACACACGCACACACTGGCATTGCTATCTCTTCGGCAGTGCAATGAATCAACAATATTGGCACAACATAAAACAGTTCATAAATCTCGGGTGCTTCCAGATGAGAGAATCCTGGGCAATAAGGGCACGATCTTAGGCATGTTTAGGCAGAAAGGAGTCCTGCAGTGCCCACGCCAGCTGGGAAATGCTGGAGTTGTAGGACCTTTTTAGCGTTCACATGCATAGGATTGTGGCCTAAAGCTGGGAAGCAAGTCACTGCTGTTTCATCTTTTTTTAAAAAACGCATTTTCCACAGCAAGTGAAAAACACAAGAACCAGTGGGAAAATATGGGAGGGCTACAAGTGGAAGGCAATATTGTTTGTTCTTACTATAACATTCTTTGAATGAGGTATGGCAATTAAAAAAAGAAAATTCATCTGGAAGCATCCTCTTCTGGGCAGAGACTGAATGGAAGCCTGCCTGGAAATCGCATCTGAGCCAGTGTGAGGTCATGGGAAAAGGAGTGGAATAGAGATATACGACAAGCCTTGTAAATATTAGTTCCAACTTGGTTTCCATCCAATCGCAGGCAAGGTCCAGCTGTCTGACCTGTTTCATGTTGTATCCCAGATCCTCTAGGTCAATATTGATCAATGAAAACAGTAATACCCATGTGATTTGGATTACGGTTTCCATTTATGTCTAGCTCTTTCCAACACCTCCATGTACCCCACTAGTTTTATGCTTATGGAATTATCTCTCCAGTGAACCCTGCCTGGTGCCAATATTGTCTTCTTTTCAGCATCAGTGAAATCTACCCTCTATTCCCAGGCATTTCATGACATTTAACAGCATGTGTGTTGGGTTATGTCAGCTGGTTTATGACCTCTAGTTTTAGTGAAACAAAACAGAACATTATAAAGCATAAGTGACAGTGGAAATAGTAAAACATGCCAAAATGCTGTTAAGATAAAAGAATATGAAAAGGGACAACTAAAAGATCTGGACAAATGAGAACAGCATATTTAGCACCCCAAAGACAATAAATTTGGGGTGCCAGGTGGGTATCTCTGGGGAAAGAAGCCAAAGATGGGCCCTACTCTCACAGAGCCCCAAAATGGTGGGACCTTAAGAAGGGTTTTAAAAGATGACCATAGGATTTATCTAGGAAAAAATGTTATTTGAAATATACTGCTCCTAAGCTATACAATTTCACTTCGGTTTCCCTCCTCAAGATCGTGGGCAGGCAGCCTGGGCAGGCCACCATAAATAAACCCCTTCTTGTGCTTGGGCTCTGTTCTGTTCTAAATAATTAAATTTTCTATACTGTATTTTCTTGTAGGTTTGAAAATAAACGGTAGATAAATTGATGTTTTACCTTTGATCATCTCTAGGTTTGTGGGCTTTTTTAAATCAATCCCTTCTTATGTCCATTTAACAGCTGCCTGAAATGCAGATATTACTAAGGCATAGTGTTTATCTCCATTTTGTAAAAAACATCTGATTATATCTGCAGATCAAGTTGCACTTAAAAGCACTAGGCAGAGATCAGTAAAACAACATTGGACACGCTATTCATACATCAATAGCAGTACAGTAGTGGTTTAAAATAGAACCTCATGGTTTCAAACTGCTTCCTATATAATTTACAATCATTTAAAAAACTAATTCCATTTTGATATACTTTCCCCATACATTAATTTTCTATACGAAGGTAGTCACATGTAAAATCCTACTTGACTGTGTTATCTTGCCTTCTGTATGTTTTTAATTTTAGCTCTGCAGAATGGGTAAATTTAGATACATCTGAGAGAACAAATTCTTGTTAATTTAATTTTTTGGACTAAATAAGAAGGCTTTACATTATATGAAAATGTAAACAGTAAAACCAGCTATGTCTGCAGAAAACAGCAAGACAGTTTAAAAATAAATGAAGTAATGAATCTTATATAAAGGGAAACAAAAATCTTAGTACTATATTTGCATCAACATAACTGATACAATGAGAACTCTGCAGGCACAACCATATTGATTAAACAATAGCTTGGTACTCACTAATAATTTTTAAAAATTGCAGTAGTTTACACTACAGTGAAGAATAATAGTTTAATCTATCAGACAAATTAAGATTGTGACACCCTCCCAAGCACAGCCATACCCCCATGCAGTACAGTACTTAATGCATAGAATTTCGTACTTCTACCTTTATATGTTTTCGGATGAATTTTTTGGCTAAAAGGCTTAAAGGCATCATTCAACAAAGTGAACGCCTGGGGAAAGGTGTGCATATGTGCCTCTTCTTATTCACAAGCAAAATGAAATCCCAGCTACCTTGTTGGTTTATTTCGTAGTTCACATAATTGGACTATTAAGTTGATCTCCTAATTGCAAAGTTGCTACAGATCTCTCAGCTTGTTAAGAGAAGGAGGAAAGAGCCACAAACAACTTTCAGTGTCCCTTAAGAGATCAGCTCTCCCTTGTGGTTACATAAACCAGTTCTCCTCTGAGATGTTGTAGCAATTTCTGTCTCCTTAAGACAAAAGGCAGAGTCAGAAGCAAGCCTTCTGCATGGGAAGTCATACAGAATTGAACAAATA